CCACCATACAGGTGGCTGAAGCCACGTCCTCTTATCTAAAAGCCAGTGCTGTTAACCACTAAGCGATCTCTCCAGCCCCCAAAGACTTTACTTCTTATCAGAATTAAAAACAAATTCAAGCAGGGCATGGTGTTACTGACCCGTAACTCCAGTACTCAGAGGAAGAAGCAGAATAATCACTAGTTCGACCCCAGTTTGGTCTACATTGTGAATCCCATGACAGTCAGGGATACCTGATATGACCTCATTTGAAAATTCAAACAAAAAGAAATTACAACTCTAATTTCATTTATGAAAATTACAGGAATAATAAAATGACCTAATGTTTTTGGCTATTCTCAAATAAATATTAAGTAATTTATGAAACAGTACCCAAAATTTTTAAGTATGATTTCTAATAAGCTATGCATTCATTCTATCATACTACTGATGTGAATCCATGTACAGGCTTGTGTGTGCACAGGACATAGGTCCATTGATACCCAGTGTCTTCCTCCATCTTCCTTCACCTTATTTTTTGACAGGTGGTCTCAGAGAACCTGAAGCCCACATGGGGTTACCTGGCCAATGAGCTCCACGGTCCCACAATCTGAACTCTGACCCTAATGCTTGCACAACGGGACAGGCACTTCAGCACCTAGGCATTCTCCTCAGCTCTCATCTGGCAATCTTTAAAAAATCTTAGGTCTTGGCAGGGAATACTTTAGGTGGCCTAATAATCCCCACACAGGAAATCTATCACCTTTTTATATTCTGCCCAAGAGCACAAAAATATGTTTCGAACACATTCAAATCACAATCCTGGTTAGTTACTTAATAACTCGGGTCAAGCCAGGCGTTGGTGGCACACGCCTTTAATCCCGGCACTCGGGAGGCAGAGGCAGGCGGATCTCTGTGAGTTCGAGACCAGCCTGGACTACCAAGTGAGTTCCAGGACAGCCTCTAAAGCCACAGAGAAACCCTGTCTCGAAAAACCAAAAAAAAACAAAAACAAAAAACCTCGTGTCAACTACTAATCTCTGGACCGGTCTCTTCTCTAAGCCAATACTAACTTCTATGTCTTAGAACTGCTAAATTAAGCATATGCAAACTGCTTATAAGGCCTGTTTTACAGCATGTGTTCAAGTTAGTAGTGATTGTTTATTGTTACTGGATATTGCTTACTAATATTTCTACTTGTCAATTTATTAATGGTTCTAAAACTGAATTTTATTTTTGCTTTTGGAGACAGGGTTTCTTTATGTAGTACTGACTGTCCTGGAACTCACAGAGATCCACCTGTCTCTGCCTCTCCAGTGCTGGAATTAAAAGCATGTCACCACTACCTAGTGCAAAACTGAATTTTAAGGCAAATACTCTAAACTTTATATTGAGGGAAAAAGCACTTACTTGCATTTATTTGGTCTATTTGGTGTGGGTGCACATCTGGAAATCAGAGATGACTTTCAGGAGTTAGTTCTGTCGTTCCACCAAGTGGCTTCCAGGGATGGAACTCAGGCCATCAGGTATGGTAGCAAGTGCCCTGACCCACTAAGCCAACTTGCTGGCCCAAAAATAAGCAGTTAAAAAAATTGTTGCTGGGCAATGGTAGCACTGTACTCAGGAGGCAGAGGCAGGCAGCAGATCTGTGAGTTTGAGACCAGCCTGTTTTACAGAGTAAGTTCCAGGACAGCTAGGGCTGTTCCAGAGAAATGGGGGGGGTGAGAAGGGGTGTCAGGAGCGAACGACACAAAACACTTAAGAGGGCCAGCAGAAAGGCATAGAAGATAAAGGTACTTGTCAAGAAGCCTGACAAATTAAATTCAACCCATAGAATAAAATGAAGGAATCAATTCTCAAAAATCATACTAATTTCATTCATATCCTCATGCCACTGCACATGCATGCATGAAAAGTAAATAGCAAAATCTCTTGTAAAAATCAGAACATTTGCTGTGCATCAGTGGTGAATGCTATTAATCCCAGCACTCTACTGGGCAAGCAGAAGCAGATGGTCTACAGCTTCATCTACAAACTGAGTACCAGGAGAGCCAGGGAATCTACACAGAGAAACCCTGTCTCAATTAATAATAATTACAATAAAGAAAAATACATACAACTCTAAATGCTCTTCTATTTAAAAAAACAAGTACAGTCATAAAATGGCACACTCTTTGCTGGGCAGTGGTGGTGCACACCTTTAATCCCAGCACTCGGGAGGCAGAGGCAGGGGGATCTCCGTGAGTTCAAGACCAGCCTGGTCTACAGAGCAAGTTCCAGGACAGCCTCCAAAACAATACAGAGAAACCCTGTCTCAAAAAACAAAACAAAACAAAAAAGATGGCACACTCCTGTAGTCTCAGTTACTTGGGAAGCTGAAGTTGGAGGTATAAGTGAGCCAAGAACTAAGAACACCTTGCAGTTAGGGATATAGTTAAATGGTATTGTTTTTCCTAAGGTTAAGTTCAAAGCCCTACATTCAATCCTCAGTGATTTGGGGAGGAGAGAGGGGGTAACATCCTAGCAAACAGTGGGATCTGTGACCTGCTCTATAAATGAGATCTCCAATATATTATTTGCAGGTTTTTTTCTTCATGTGCAAGGGCTAGAGTCCTGTGTCTCATGCTTGCTAGGCAAGAATTCCACAACATCATATCTTCTTGAATTTTTTTTCACTGCCTGAAACATTGGAAGTGATTTTTTAGTAACTTTTCTCCTATTAATTCACTTTAAGATATGAATACCCAGGATGGGGAACTGGCTCAGTGGTTTAAGAGTTCAAGAGTTCAGTTCCCCAGCTCCAGAGAATATGATGCCCTCTTCTGGCCTCCATGGGCACCTATAAATATATACACTTATACTGACATACACATAGAACATTTTTTAACAATAACTTAAAGAGATTTAAAACAAAGACTTGAATACCTCAATATATATAAAATTGTCTATATTACCCCCCCAAGTCCTCTTCTGTCCTCAAGTATCAGGCACACACATAACAGACATACACGCAGACAAAACACACATATTAAAAAAAAAGAACCTAAAAAAACTTTAATTCTCATTTAGCACTTGTAGCCTCAACAAAGTATTTAACAAGCCAGCACTTTCCTAACAAGTTTACAGTAATCTATACAGACCACAACTATCTCTGGCACTTTATTTCTTAGGTCTTTTTTTGGGGGGGAGGGGTTTTATGAGACAGGGTTTCTCTGTATAACAGCCCTGGCTAACCTGAAACTCACTTTGTAGACCAGGCTGGCCTCAAACTCACTTGAGATCCACCTGCCTCTGCCTCCCAAGTACCGGGATGAAAGGTTTGTGCCGACACCACCCAGCTATTTTTTAGGACTTTCTATGAGCTGCCAATTCTATTTGCCCAGTTCCTTATACTCTCATGCCGTCTGCCCATTTCAAAAATGTAGGAACCAAAGTTACCATGCTGGACACAGAATTCTACAGCTATGCTTACCAACTGCCACTCTACTCCCTTAATGCTGTCTGGCAGGGCAAGTGACCTATTCAGGGCAAGGATGCAGCAGTGTGACTGTCAAAGCTCTGTCAATAAGCTCGTGCCTCATGGCCCTTGAAAGATAAGGAGCTAATTGCACTGTTGAGTTAAGATAGCCATGTGGAGAAGGGATACTGACACCCATTTTCAAACTGATCAGTGAACGGCTATTGTAGACGGTTTGCTACAATACACAGCTTATTAGGGCCTGGTTTGCCTGTGTACCCTGCCTGGTCCATAAGCTCAATTATAGCACCTACACAACATGGGAGTCGCTTCTGTTCATGCCCTTCCAAACACTGCTGGAAAATATAGAATGATTTTTAAGATAACCCAATTCCCCATTTTAAAAAAGGAAACCAAAAAGGGCAAATCATTAAAAAAAAATTTTAAGGTAGAATCTTCCTTTGCTGAGGGTAAAGGAACTGTAGCTCACCTTTGTCCTCAAGCTTTTAATATTCAGCTCAGTTTAACTTCACAATCGGCAGTCTCTAGTGCCATGAATGTGTCCTCAGGTCCTTGCACACAGGATTTAACCCAAATTTACTATGTCAGTGTAATGGACCAAGGCATTCAGACTACAAAAGAAGCACTGCAATTACTACCCACTGAATCTTTCTACATATCCAACTTCCCATTTCCACACCTCTTAATTTAATACAAGGCCATCACCGGGCACTCTACTAAAGTAGACAATCTCCCCAAATTCCTTCTCCCCCACAATAGCAGGTAAGTGCTTGTACTGGGGCTTTTAACCTGAACTAAGAAACCAAAACCGTCTAGTCCTCAAGTTACAATCCCAACGTGACCATTAAAATTACCTGCATGACCTTGGGCCAGTCATCTCAAACTTCTAGGCCTCAGTTTCCTCCACTGGCTAGTTCAACTTTGTTTGATTTTCCTGCTTTTATGGTTCAGTGAATAGCCACACCGAATCACTATCCACCACCGAACAGACAGGTGCCACAACAGTTAAGCCTTAAGTTTCTCAAGCGCTACACGTTCTAGTACATTCTTCTCCCTCGTCAGGGTGCTATCTACGGTCCAGTCTTCGCTTTGGGCATGTTATTTTCTAATACTGGAATTGTAACGCTCATCTCTCGATCTAGTTCACCTTTCTACTACTCGGACTACCTACTAGGCCCGATTCCAGCTATACACCTGCACCGGATTACTCAGTCCACCTCCAGGGGGGCCAAGAACAGGGCCTAAGAAAGCTCTAGAAGCAAAGCCATAGAAAGTTGTTAGCTTTCTCCAGAGGTCAAGGGAAGCCCCAGGTCACCTGCCACGCCTCCCGACCTCGGCGGCGCTTCCCAGGCCTGCCTGGCTACCTGGGCCGCTCTCCTCACTGCCCTGAGCTTCCGCCGAGGCCTGCGCCGGTCGAACGCCCGCCCGACCCCTCGGCCGTCGAGACTCCGGCCACGCCCGACCCCTCCGCCGCGGCGCCGCTCTCCCAGGCCCCCAAGGCTCGTCCCAAGCTTGAGGCTCCCGCACACGCTTCCCTTCTCACCTCGAGCCTCCCGGGGACCACTGACGGCTCCCGCACCTTCTCCCACCCGCACACCCGGCCCCGCGCTGCAGTGGAGACAGCGGCGGAGGCGGCCCGACCGTCACGTGCCGCAGAACTAAGAGGCCTCGGCTACCGCTGCCGCGCGAGCGAGCCCCACCGCACGAAGACCAACCCTGCGTCCGCCCCTCGGTCCTGAGTGGCTACAACGAACGTAAAATCCCGCCCACTGGCGCAAGGTCTGCAAGTCCATTGATCAACGTATCCATCGCTCAAAACTCCTTCCCATACGCCCCCTAGGGCTATTCTTCGTGGAGGGTGATGATTGGTCAAGAGCAAGGCAGGAAGTGGTTGTCGATTGGGCAGAAGGAAAGAAGGCGGGCCGTGACGGAGAGGGAGGGTGCGCTCGCCCTGGGCCGGTTGGCTTTGGCACGTTTCCTCGAGTGGGGTCGCCCTGGTTCTTCAGTGGGCGGTGTGTCCGCGGCCATTGCGAGAAGACGCCTTTCCCACCCGTTGAGCTAGGAACTCTGCTCCAGTCCCAGCTGCCCTTCGTTAAAGGGACACGTGACCTCCATCAGAAATGGAGGGAGGTCGAACTGGTATTCCTGTGCCGAGAGTGAGATCCCTCTGGGCCGCAGGCGCCACGGTTCCTGCGGAGTCATCGCCCTGATCCCGGGAGCCTGAGACCTCTTTACCTAACAAAACACGATCTAGATCACAGTCGTGCAACATGAAGTCACCTTACCCTGTTCCTGTGCTGTTTTCCTGATTTTGGTCATTAAAATCACACATACCCTAGTGACAGAATTGAAGCAGGGGAAGGGGGGATGCTATGTGCAGATTTTAAATACCCATTTCTGTAACACTCATTTTTCATTTTCAATATGCTGAAAACCCTTTAAGACTGAAGTGACTTTGAACATCCTGATCGCCTCTGGTTGTGTTTCCTGACCCAAAGCTTTGAATCCTGGGGAAAGAATCAGCATGCTTTATCCTGTATGTAACCACATAAAATCGGCTCTATTCCTGCCATCCCAAGGGAAAAGCAGTCGGGGTTTAATGTTTGAGTCAACTTAGTAACCACCAATTCTCATTCCCTAATTTACAGCACAGAATTTGCTTTCCTTATTTGCCTTGGGAAGGTGTTGGAAAACAAAAATTTAACGTCAGGTGTCCTAGCACATGCTTTAGTCCCAAGTCCCATGAACTCAGGAGGCTGAGGCAGGAGGATCCCCTTTAGGGTCTGGAGAGATAGCTCAGCGATTAAGAGCACTTGCTTGCTCTTGTAGAGGACTCCAGTCCGGTTCCCAGTACCCACATCGGGTGCTCACTGAAAGGGTCAGGCTTCATACTGGCCTGCCCTTGTACCTGGCAGAATGCACTGAGGCAGCACGCTGGCCAGCCCAGAGTTCCATGAGAACTAGTCTGCACGCAGATGTAAAGGGCCCCTTAAAAGGACCCCCTCCCCACCTCTCTTCTCTGCTCCTTCACTCTCTCCTCGTTTCTCATGTCTCCACTTCTCCCTTGCTGTAATAAACTTTGGTTAATACACTCTATGACTTGTGCTCCATCGTGCCGGTCCAGGTCCCATCTCGCGCCTTTCCTTTTCCTTTTCTCTACTTTTAAAACTTTTACAAAATAACAACACTCACAACTGCCTATAACTCCAGCTCCAGGGGATGTCATACCCCTTCTGGATTCCAAGAGCACTTGCACTCCGAGGAGCACATACCAAATACATATCCTACATAAGTACACATAATTGAAAAAATCTTCAAAAAAATTAATTCAGACAATGGTGGCAGAAACAGGTGGATTTTTGTGAGTTCGAGGCCAACCCAGTCTACAGAGTGAGTTCCAGGACAGCCTCCAAAACCACAGGAAAACCCTGTCTCACGAAAAACCAAAAAATAAGTAAGTAAATAAAAGAGGTGAGACTTGGACTGAACTTCATATAGATACGCAGAATTGGAAGAAGGGTTCTTGAGATGAAGAAAGGTGAATGGGAAGAGAGGGAGCAAATCACAGGTGTTTGTAGGATTCCTATACAAAAATGTTTTGGGGGCCATCGTGATTGATGATGGCATTCTGCAGGTAAGGACACTTGACACCAAGTCTGATGACCTGAATTTGCTTTCCAGGACTCATATTGTGGAAGAAGAGAACTGAATTATGCTCTGATCTCAACACATTGACATACACACAATAGTAAATGTGAAAACTGAATGAAAATGAAGACATAATGGCGCCAAGGCATATAGTTCAGAGAAACTGGGAACCTCAGGTTTCTGATACTTTCATAATGCACCATTACAGAATATCACAGTTTCTTTTTTTTTGTTTGTTTGGTTTTTTTGTTTTGTTTTGTTTTTGTTTTGTTTTTCGAGACAGGGTTTCTCTGTAGCTTTGGAGGCTGTCCTGGAACTCACTTTGTAGACCAGGCTGGCCTCGAACTCACAGAGATCCGCCTGCCTCTGCCTCCCGAGTGCTGGGATTAAAGGCGTGCGCCACCAACGCCCGGCTACGCCACCAATGACCGGCCACAGTTTCTTGTATAACTCAATTTATCCAAATAGCTAAAGCTTAACAAAGTTAGCAAATACAAAGAGGCTAGGCATATATCTTCAAGACAGTTACTGTTAACTGGAATAGACCTTAGGAATTTATAAACCATATTTATCAAACATACCTTATTCAAAGATTTGTTGTTACTTATCTAATATTTTCTAGAAAACTTGGTGTTTTCAACAAAGACTTAAGTGGTTAGATATACATCTCTAAGTCAGTTTTTGTTAATCTGAGTTAGAATAGACCTTTATAACCTGAGTAGACCTTTATAACTTTAGGAATGTATCATGATATAAAATTCCAACCTAGTGGGGCAGTGGTGGCACACAGCTTTAATCCCAGCACTTGGGAGGCAGACGCAGACAAGACCAGCCTGGTCTACAAGACCGAGGTCCAGGACAGGTTCCAAAGCTATACGGAGAAACCCTATCTTCAAAACAAAACAAAAAAATTCCCACCTAAACTAAGTGGTGGCAGATGCCTTTAAACCTAGCACTTAAGAGGCAGAGGCAGGTGGATCTCTGTGAGTTCAAGGTCAGCCTGATCTACAGAGAAAGTTCCAGGATAGACTCCAAAGCTATGTAGAGGAATCTTGCCTCAAAAAATAAAATAAAAAACATTTAAAAATCCCCACAAAAACAAAAACAAAAAAAGGAAAATTCTATCCTAATCTAAAATATTTTGTAGACCAGCTGTTGCCTCTTTAGTCTAAAGGGAGATATAATGATTAGAGAGTTCAGTAGGACTAAGTTTTATGAGCATTGCCTCAGTTGGTTTATACCACATGGTCATCATTTTTTTGTGTATGTTTTCGTGACAGGTTTTCTCTGTGCAGCCCTAGCTATGTTGGAACTTGCTCTGTAGATCATATTGGCATTCAACTCACAGAGATCCTGCCTCTGCATCTGCCTCCCAAGTGCTAGGATTGAAGGTGTGTGCAACTACTGAACTGAACTCCTGGAATCCAGTGACAGGAAGGGAGAACTGATGAGCAAAGCAGTTAAGACTGGGCTGGTTTAACCCAGAGAAACAGTTGACCTGAACAAGGGGGAGCTCTTGGACTCCAGATTGATGGCTGTGTAGAAAGCATGGGACTGACCCAGACCCCCTGAATGTGGGTGTCAGTGAGGAGGCCTAAGTAATCTATGGGGCCTTGTGTAATATTTATCCCTGGCATACAAATAGACTTTGAGTGCCCATCCCACAATATGGGAGGCTCTCTCAGCCGGGACTCTTGGGGTAGGGCCTAGGCCCTGCCCTGGATGAAATGACAGATTCTAGAGATCCACCATGGAGGGCCTCACCCTCCCCGGGGATCCGAGTGGAGATTGGATGGAGGACTGGGGGGCCTGGTGGGGAGGGCGGGGGAGGAAGGGAGGGAGAGGAAGCTGGGATTGACATGTGAAACAAGCTTGTTTCTAACTTAAATTTTAAAAAAGGAAAAAAAAGAGGTGTGGCTTTGTTGGAGCAGGTATGGCCTTGTTGGAGGAGGAAGTGTGTCACTGTGGAGAGGTAAAGGTCTCCTATGCTCAAGCCATGCCCAGTGTTTCAGACTTCTTGTTGCCTGTGAGTCAAGATGTAAGGACTCTCAGCTCCTTCTCCAGCACCATGTCTGCCTGCATGCTGCCTTGCTTCCCACCATGACAACAGTGAACTAAGCCTGTGAACTGTAAGTGAGCTACCCCAGTTAAAAGTTACTGTGGTCATAGCCGGGCATTGGTGGTGCACGCCTTTAATCCCAGCATTCGGGAGGCAGAGGCAGGCGGATCTCTGTGAGTTCGAAGCCAGCCTGGTCCACAGAGCAAGTTCCAGGACAGCCTCCAAAACAATGTAGAGAAACCCTGTCTCGAAAAACAACCAAACAAAAAAGTTACTGTGGTCATGGTGCCTCTTAACAGTAATAGAAACCCTAAGACAGTAGTTGGTACCAGAGACTGAGGTATTGCTGTGATAGGCCAGACCATATTTTTGTTTGAATGAATATGGCCCTTGGGACTGTGAATTAGAAAAGCAGTTGAACACTTTAAGTGCTGTTTAATGTGCTATATTAGTAGGAGCATAGAAGACAGTAGCTCTGAGTGTAATTTGAACTGTGGGGGATAGATCAAGAGGTTTCAGAGAAGAATAATACTAATATGTGACATTTGGTGAAGAACGGGGCTGTTTTTATCCTTGTTTAAAGAGTCTGCCTGAGGCTAAAGTGAAGAGTTTTGATTAATTCTGTTGGCAGAAGAAATCTCAAAACAGCCTAGTATAGACTGTCCTATGGCTATTAGTGATAACTCTGATGAAGATTTATAATGAAAAGGAGAAAACTGAGCAAGAAAAAAATAATACATGATGTAGAACAATCTGAGAAGAAAAAGAATACCAGCAAGTGGAATGGAGTTACTCTCTGTGTTCAACGAGATAAGCAGATTAAGAAATGGAATAAGGGCTAGAGAGAGATGGCTCCTCAGATAAGAGCAGTGACTGTTCTTCCATTAGGACCTGAGTTTAATTCTGAGCATCCATATGGCCGCCCACTACTGTCTGTAATCCAGCTCCAAGTGATTTGGCACCCAAACACACACATACATACAGGTAAA